CGTGGTTTTGGACGGAGGTAAGACCAAGGAAGCAGAGAATTCAGCTGGCGATGTGCTGCGCGCGCTACGCTGCGCTTCTGGCAGAGGGGGCCATGCTTGAACGCCCGGCACTCAGGGGGGCCCTCCACAAACTGTGGATGGAAACGGCACCGTCCCACGCACGGGTCTCTGCGCTGTTTTCTGCCTTTGCGTCCGCCGCAGGGTTCGTGGTTGATGAGGGCACATGCTCGGGCATTAATAGCGCTGCTGCTGTGGCGTTTGCAACGGCACCTTCGTTAGCAGGCCTTGTGACTCTTTACCGCGAGGACCTAGCTGAGGTATTGCTCGCTGATGCCACGTTCCCGGATGTCTATCGCGCGGACTCCTTAGCGGCACCTCGCTTGGGCCAGTCTCTGGCGGCCTCGGTGCCAACGTTTGTTCGCGGCGGGCCCCCGAGCTCTGATGGAGGCGAGTTCGCTCGTGGGCTGGGGCGGGCTAGTGGGCAAGTCGCACCCTGCTGAAGTAGCCGTGCAACTCGATGACTAGCTGACGGCAGACGATTCGCTGGCCCCTGGCCGCATGGGGCCGCGACCTACCTCGGCCATGCAGCTCGAGAAGGCGGTGAAATCTTCGTTGAAGTCACGCGTCTCCGCCACGCTCTCTGGCCTTGATAGCGCAGATCCTAGCGGCCCGGGCAGAGACGACGTCGAGGTGGCAGTTCCTCCTCCGCAGGGTTTCTCGTTGGAGCGCGCCTTCTCGCTCCGATTCTCGGATGCGAGCGGGCCTCCGGCGAAGCGCGCGCGAGGTGCCGACGCCAAGAAGCGCCAGGCTAAGGCGTTGGCGTCGGGCGCGGGCGACTCTGCATAGGAGCTGGCTGCCGAGGCCTCCCGGACTCGCGCTGGGCGGACTGCCGAGAGGAAGCAGTAGAGGAAGGCGAGGCGAGCGGTAGAGGCCTCCACGCGCAGACTTCCCGCAAGGCTCGGCAGCGTCTACGTAAACTCGAGGCGTCTGTCGAAGGCGAGGCTGGTTCGGGTGGCAAGAAGCAGCGCCGGTTGGTGGACCCCGCGCAGGGCGCCCCCGGGCTGCAAGCGGCGGCTTCGACTGGTGCGGCGTTTTCCGCGGTGGCAGCCAAGCTGGATGCTCCTGCGGGCGACTCAGCTGGGTCGGCGGGCACGGATGGGGATAAGTTGACCCCTGGCAAGAAGCAGAGGAAGGCCAAGCCGCCGAAGGACGAGGCCGCCCTTCCGCAGGCTGGTGCGGCGAACAGGCCGCGCCAGACGTTGGATGAGGGCATGGCCACGCGAGCGCGGGCTTTGGTCGCCGGGGCGCCGACTGATGCCCCCAAGGCTCTGAAAGCGAAGGTGGCAGCGATCGAGCAGATTTCTAATAGTCTGGCGGGGCGCCATGTTATGGTTGCCTTGCGCCACGTGCGCGCGCCGTTGGCTGAGAAGTAGCTGGCTGCTCCTGTGCTGGTCGCATTTTGCGTTTGCCTACAGGAGGGCGAAGTATGTCACCTCCTGATGGCCGCAATTCGTAGTTTCGCTCCTGTGCTTCAGACTTTTCTGAGTGTAGCAGGCTCAAGAAGAGATCAAAACCCAGGAACCCCCGTCAGGCTTGCAGGTTGCTGAAGCAGAGGAGTGCGCATGCACGTCTTGTGGGGCCAATTGCCACACCAGCCTGCTTGCAGACCTGTCTTACCTGCGGCCTGGGTAGCGCGAGCGGCTAAAATACTGTCTGATCCATCCTTGTGGGATGTGCATTCAGTGTTGAGAAGGCCGCCCTCATCGACATTACGCCGCTTACCCGGCCCCCGCCTCGCGATCACTTGGTGGAGCGAGGGACCAGGTGCGCTGTGGTTGTGCGCGTAGAGGGGCGCACGGGCCCGCGAGACTATGTTGATGCGTGTGCAGAGTGCGCTAGTCGGGGGTGGCAGGGCAGTCGCCGATCTATCGGTGATGCATCGCCGATTGAGCCCTGCCACACCCGTTTAGAGGCTGTGCGTGCGTGACGGTGTGGTCTTGTTGGATCGGCGCCTTTCTTGGACGCACACCCAGCGGGCCTTGACCCCCGTCGCGTCGTGGGCTAGGACAGCCAGGGGGCGTGGAGTTTCCCTCTTGGCGTCGCGTTCGCTTCATCATCGCTCAACTAGTAGTAGTCGTCGCTGTCGTAGTTGTAGTCGTAGTCGTAGTCGTAGTCGTAGTAGTCGTAGTAGTCGTAGTAGTCGTAGTAGTCGTAGTAGTCGTAGTAGTCGTAGTAGTCGTAGTAGTCGTAGTGGTAGTGGTAGTGGTAGTGGTAGTGGTAGTGGTAGTGGTGGTAGTAGTAGTAGTAGTAGTAGTAGTAGTAGTAGTAGTAATAGTAGTTGTAGTAGTAGTAGTAGTAGAAGAAGAAGAAGTAGTAGTAGTCGTAGTAGTCGTAATAGTCGTAGTAGTCGTAGTAGTCGTAGAAGTCGTAGTAGCCGTTGTAGTCGTAGTAGTCGTAGCAGTCGTAGTAAATAGTAGTAGTCCTAGTCGTAGTAGTCGTAGTAGTCGTAGTAATCGTAGTAGTCGTAGTAGTCGTAGTAGTCGTAGTAGTAGTAGTAGTAGTAGCAGCAGTAGCAGCAGTAGTAGTAGTAGTAGTAGTAGTAGTAGTAGTAGTAGTACGAGTAGGAGGAGTGGTAGTAGTGGTAGAAGTGGTAGTAGTGGTAGTAGTAGTAGTAGTAGTAGTAGTAGTAGTAGTACTAGTAGTACTAGTAGTAGTAGTAGTAGTAGTAGTAGTAGTAGTTAAGTAGTAGTAGTAGTATTAGTAGTAGTAAGTAGTATAGTAGTAGTAGTAGCAGTAGTAGTAGTAGTAAGCAGTAGTAGTAGTCGTAGTTGTCGTAGTAGTCGTAGTAGTCGTAGTCGCGTAGTAGTAGTAGTAGTAGTAGTAGTAGTAGTAGTAGTAGTAGTAGTAGTAGTCGTAGTAGTAGTAGTAGTAGTAGTAGTAGTAGTAGTAGTAGTCGTCGTAGTAGTAGTAGTAGTAGTCGTAGTAGTCGTAGTAGTAGTAGTAGTCGTAGTAGTAGTAGTAGTAGTAGTAGTAGTAGTAGTAGTAGTAGTAGTAGTCGTAGTCGTAGTAGTAGTAGTAGTAGTAGTAGTAGTAGTAGTCGTAGTAGTAGTAGTAGTAGTAGTAGTGGTAGTCGTCGTCGCCGTCGCTTTGGCAGGTCTGCAGTGGGTACGACAAATGGGGGTACGCCTGGTGCGAGAAGGTGGGTGCGGTAGGCTCGCGCCGCGTCGAGGCTGCGGCGGCGACGACGGCGACCTCAGCGTGGACGTTCCAGGTTTAGCGCCGCTTTCCGATTCCGGCTTTGAATTTACAGGCCCATGTTGCAGGTGGCGAAAGGGGCCTTTGTTGTCGCTGAGGAGCATCGGCCAACGTGGAGGCTTCGCTCAGGCTCTGAAGGTCTGGATTCAACATCCACCAGGCGTGAGCCCCCAGAAGTACTACAGATTTCTTGGCTCGCCCGGCGCAAATCCACGGCGCACGCGCACGCCGCCTTCACCATGCGCAGGAGGGAGACGAGGGCCCGCTTCGTCTAGCAAAGCGCAGACACTGGCTTTGCGAGCAAAGAAAGCGCAGTGGCGGCCGGGTGCACTTGCGCCAGAGTGTACCGCAACGGACCGACAAATATGATGGTCAATATGGGGATGATGATGATGATCATGGTGATGATGATGATGATGATCACGAGGATGTTGATGCTGATGTTTATGATATACTGATGGTGATTCTGATGATGAGGATGAGGATGAGGATGAGGATGAGGATGACGATGATGATGATGATGATGATGATGATGATGATGATGATGATGATGATGATGATGATGATGATAATGATGATGATGATGATGATGATGATGATGATGATGATGATGATGATGATGATGATGATGATGATGATGGTGGTGGTGGTGGTGGTGGTGGTGGTGACAGTGTCCATCGCGGGCCCTCGTCGTTGCTACGAAGACTTCGAGACGACGTGATGCAGGGCTCGGGAATTTGCGTGGGATTTTGTGAACCATTGGTTTGCACGTCGGCATTTTGCGGTACCCCCTTTGAGAATGTAACATTTTCAAATGGGACGTTTTCAGAATCCCGCGATCCAGCGCACCAGTCAATTTGCTACGATGATAAGAGGGGGTGCGCGGGGCGCTGACTGCGTTGGGACATCTCCGTGAAATCGATTCATATTGCGCTCGCGGGCGCAGTGCCTTGTTCGGGCCCCGCAGTTCAGGTCGAAAGTTACAGCTGAAAAGGAAAACCGCTGTCATGGTATGGTGGTACTCGTGGTAATCCCAGCGGCAGGCCCGAAGTGGGTACGTACGGAAACCAGGTACGCCTGGCCTGCGAAAGTCGGGCTGGCAGGCTCGCGCCGCGACGGAGCGGCGGCGACCCCAGCGTGAGCGCTCAGGGCTGAGCGCCGCCACTTGCCAAGAACGGGCCAATGAACAGAACGATCAGCTCTGCAGGAAAGCCGCGATCGCTCAATGTTGAACGATCCGCGCGATGTCCCCAGACCCCCTCCTAAGGACCGTTGTTTTACCCTGAGCCCTGTATTCACGGTCCCGGTTCTCGGGGATAGCCCCCAGACGCCGGAAACGTCAGAAAACGTGCGTCGCGATCTTTCTGGATCCATGTCTTTCCGATGGATGTGATTCGTTGTCGATTCCGACCGGCCCGATCCGATTCGATTCCAATCTTCCGACGATCGGATGCGGCCCAATGTTCGTTTGGCGTTGTTATGCACCGTGGAGCAGCCGATCCGATTCGATCTCGATTCTGCGCTGGTGCCCGAAGCACATGTCGATTCGATCCGATGCACCGATTCGATGCTGACGGCTTTTCCCTCACGATGCCAGGGGGCGCCAGTCAGAAACCAGCGCCGACGTCCTCACGGCGCCCGCCCGTCGTGGAGCCGCCCACGCGTTTGCCCCGCCCGCCGAGGCGACGCAACAGCTCCATCGGCTAATCGCCGACCTGGCGGCCGAGCCCCGTGCCGGGCCCGAGGCGAGTCCCGCCAGGGGGGGCGCTCATGCTTGCTCTGCCTCTGACCTCCTCCTGTCCCTGTGTGCGTATGTGTCTCGCAATTCCAATGCAGGTAGTGTGTGTGTGTGTGTAAGTGTGTAAGTGTGTAAGTGTGTAAGTGTGTAAGTGTGTAAGTGTGTGTGTGTGTAAGTGTGTGTGTGTGTGTGTAAGTGTGTGTGTGTGTGAGTGTGTGTGTGTGTGTGTGTGTGTGTGCGCTCTCGGCAGGCCAGCCTCGGCCTCTGCACTCGCCGCCCCTCTCTCCCTGGTTTTCAGGCCGGCTCCGGCGTGCTTGCCTAACCGGCGTCGCCGGTCGGCGGGCTCCGCCCCCTGCTGCTCGCTCTACCTCCCTTGTGCGCTGCCGACCCTCGTCTTGGGGCTGTCCCGGGCCGGGTCCTCCAGGGTCGCCTCGCAGGTCTCGGGGGCGGCAAAGAGGGGGGTGATGACTAGGGGGGGGGTGGATACCATGGCGGGGGCCATGATATTTCCCCAGATTTTATGGCGCCTCTTCTTTTTCCATTACGTCCCTGGCCCCCCCGCTGGGCCGCGCACATGCCGCCGGTCATGATTTGCACCCCCCCCTCTTGGACACTCCCCTCTTGGCCGCTCCCGAGTCTGCGGATCTCGGCACCTTGGCCAGCCCTCGGTTCCCCCGCTCCGCCCTGCTGGGACTCCTTCCCCAGTGCCCCTGGCCCCTCACCTGAGGTGGTCCGCACTGGCTGCCGCCCTCGGTTGCCTGGAGGTCACTCGGATCTCGGCACCCTGGCCGCTTCGCTGTGCTGCCCGCCTCCTGCTTGCGCTGGACCTGCCACCCCCCCGCCGGGCTGTGCCCGGCCGCCTTCCAGCTGCCGCCCCCCCCAGCTGCTGCCTCGCCGCCGCCGCTGGCCCCCCGCCCCGGCGCCTGCCCCGCCGCGGCTCGGCCCTGCGCTGAGCGGGCCAGGCGTCCTCTCCCTCGCCCGCGCCGGGCTTCCTCGCCTCCCACGCGCACCGCGGCTTCTTTCGCGGTCTGTGCGCACCACGAGTGCTGCATCGCCAGATCAGTCGCTCTGCCTAGCCACCGACGCAAAAAGTGTTTCTGTGTGTGTGCCCAAGGGCAGAAGCCGTGGCCTCCCCCACTAAGCTTAGTTAGGCCCGGACATCTTTCCATTCTGCTGGTTCGCCCGTTATCTCACCTACCGACGCTGATGCTTTACTCATAGAAGAAGCCTAGCCTTCGATCGTATTCATCCTACGGATCCCGGTAGAAGGGGTCGAAGAAGAACAAGTGGTATAAGAAGATTTGTTTCGAAGGTTCGATCCGGTTCTTGGATCTGCACCAGGCCCCTTTGGCGACGCCTCCAGCGCCGCCATTAGCACGCTGCGCGCGCCAGGGAAGGGCGTCAAGCGCAGATCCAAGAAACCCGCGCGGAACTCCAAGAAGCGCGCGGACCTCGCGCCATGACAGAGTCGCGACGGGAGGGTGTGGCCACTTTCGGTACCTGGGGACCCTTGCTGGGCCCTGGCGCCGGCAACTGATGATTCTGGACGGGGGTAGTCCTCTTGGAAAGGGTGCAGGTGATCTATCTCTGGGGGGATACGTTACGAGTCGCGACGTCGAACGTCTGAGGAGGAGGAGGAGGAGGAGGGGGAGGAGGAGGAGGAGGAGGAGGAAACACATCCTGCATGTGAATGGGGTGACACCCGAACTGATCTAGAGCCAGCGAGGCGGTTGAGGAGGTGGATGGTGATGATGATAATGATGATGATGATGGTGCTGTGGAGGAGGAGGAGGCGCAGGAGGTGGAAAAGGAGGGGGATGAGGATGAGGGTGATGATGATGAGGAGGAGGCGGGGGAGGGGAGGAGGAAGAAGAGGAGGGAAAAGAGGAGGACGAGGAGAAGACAGGGGTGAGGAACGGCCGTTAGTGAAACTTGCCTCACATAGGAAAATATCGGAGAAGGGTGAGGATGAGAGGGGAAGGTATGGGGAGGGGCGGGAGGGGGACACATAAGTAGCAGGGACATGAGGAACATGAGGATGTTGTTGGTTAAGGCATTGGTCTCGATGATGTTGATGCTGATGCTGCTGATGATGATGATGACGATGATGATGATGATAACGATGATGATGCAGGTTATGACGGCGGCGATGAGAATATTGATAATAGTGAAGATACGCATAGCTATGATGATAAATAGAAATGATAAAAAGTATAATAAGAATGATGACGGTGGTGATGATGTTGCTGCTGATGATGATGATTCTGAAGATGGTGATGATGATGGCGATTATGATGATGATGATGATGGTGATGCTGATGATCATGATGGTGATGCTGCTGCTGACGCTGATGATGCTGATGATGGCGATGGTGAGGATGGTTGTGTTGGTGGTGATGGCGATGATGGTGACAATAAGAACTTTGACGACGACAACCTGTCACGACGATGATGCTGATAATTGTAATCATTAGTTTGAGGTCGATGAAGTCGACGGTGGCGAGTATGATGAGGATGCTGATGTTGATGGTGATGCTGATGATGTTGATGATAATGCTACTGATTCTCGTGATGATGATACTGATGATGATGATGCTGGTGATGATGATGATGCTGGTGATGATGATGCTGCTGATGATGATGACGATGATAATACGACACTGGTGGTGTTGACGATGTTGGTGGTGGTTGTGCATCGGTGGTTGAAGGCGATGGTGATGTTGATGCAGACGATGGTGTTGATGGCGATAAACATGATGATGATGGTGACGACGACGACGACGACGACGACGACGACGACGACGACGATGATGATGATGATGATGATGATGATGATGATGTTGATGACGATGATGCTGAGGATTCTGGTGGTGGTGATGATGCTGATGCTGCTGCTGCTGCTGCTGATGATGTTGATGATCATGATTGTGATGGCGATGATGACGATGATGATCAGGTGTCGCATGAGGATGACGATGAGCATGTGAATGAGAATGACGATGAGGAGGAGGAGGAGGAGCAGCAGAATGTTGAGGAGGAACCAGGGAAGGACAAGGAGGATGAAGAGGAGGAACAGGATCAGGAGCATGAAGAACAAGTTGGGTGGGCAGCATTAAGATGCTGGTGATGATGATGCTGCTGATGATGATGATGATGATGCTGGTGATGGTGATGGTGATGGTGATGGGGAGGAGGAGGTGGAGGAGGAGTTGGAGGAGGAGGAGGAGGAGCAGGACAAGGACAAGGAGGAGGAGGATGAGGAGGAGGAGGAGTTTGAGGACGAGCAGGAGGAGGAGGAGGAGGAGGAGGAGGCGTTGGGGCATGAGCTGGAAAAGGAGGAGGATCATGTGGAGGATAAGGAGAAAGACATGAGGACAGGCAGCTTGACGAATAGGGGCTAATCTGAATATCAACAGGGGTCCAACAGGGGAATGGTGTAGGACGGAAAGACAGAAGGGTGAGGGATGTTGCGAGGGGCACTTTTGTTGATGACGATGTTGTTGGTGATGATGGTTATGACGCGGTGATGATGGGGAGGAAGAGGATGGGGATACATATGTCACACATAGAAGGGCGGATCGGCGTGATGATGAGGATGAGGAGTAAGAAGTGGATGGGCATGATGACCGTGATGATGGCAATCGAATGACGAGGATGATGATGAGGATTATTAAAATTATTTACGCTTCGCGTATCCCGACCAGCCCATCTCAAAACAGCAATTCTTGCGAAGCATGCCGACAGTCGTGTTTTTCAGGCGTGTTTCCGCCTGCCCCCGCATATCTCCCCTGTTCCTTCTTCCTCCCGCCTCCTTGTACATCCTCCTTGTGGTGGGAGCGGGAGAAGGACGAGGCGGAGGAGGAGGGAGAGAAAGCGCCCCTCGTGGTTTGAGTCGTTTGGGGTTTCTTGTCCTGGTGTGAGTCGTTCGGGCCCTTCTTCCTGGTGTGAATCGTTCGGGCTCTTCGTGATGTGAGTCGTTCGGGCTCTTCGTCCTGGTGTGAGTCGTTCGGGCTTCTCGTGGTGTGAGTTGTTCGGGCCCCTCGTCGTCGTGTGAGTCGTTCGGGCCCCTCCTCCTGGTGTGACTCGTTCGGGCTCCTCGTGGTGTGAGTCGTTCGGGGCCCTCGTCGTGGTGTGAGTCGTTTTGGGAGCCTCTTGGAGGCCTTTTGGGGCGTCTTCGGGGCCTCTTGGCGGCCCCAGGGGCTTCTAGGAGCGTCTTGGGTGCCTTGGGGGAGCCTCTTCGGGCCTCTTGGGAGCCTCTTGGAGGCCGTTTGGGGCGTCTTGGGGGCCTCTTGGCGGCTCCAGGGGCTTCCAGGAGCGTCTTGGGTGCCTCGGGGGAGCCTCTTGGGGCCTCTTGGGCGCCTCTTGGGGGCATCTTGGGGGCCTCTTGGAGGCCTCTTGGGGCCTCTTGGGACTCTTTGGGAGGGGTCTGGGAGGAATCTTGGGGCCATCTGTCGGGCGATCGATCACAGATGGGGCGAGCACTTTTCTCCCCCCCCCCCGTCGGGGCCAGAATCCTCGTGAGGGGTGTCGAATTTTAGCCCTCCCAGGAGTCGAAAAAGACCCCTCCAACGACCCGCGAGACGCCCTCTCCAGGCCCAGGGGGAGGGGGGAGGGGGAGGGGTAAACCCCTCCCCGAAGGGGAAGAAGGGGGTTGAGAACAGAGCGGGCTCTCTAAACCACTCACGCCCAAAGGGCTGGTGGTATTATGACATCGAGATGTGCGAAAGAAGGAAGAAATATTGGAAGGGCTTCCAGGTGCCACTGCGTAGCTGTTGTCGCAGCATCATCCTCCCCACCGTCCCCCCCCCCTTCCCCGCTCCCTCCATTCCTCCAACCTACCTTCTGGCTTGACCCCCCTCTCTAAGACCTCCCCGACAGTGCTGGTGAGAGGATGGAGCAAGGCATGAAGACAGGGCGGGCTCCCGCCCCCAGAAGCCTTGGGCCCAAATGCCCACGGGAAGCCTCGATCCTCGATCTCTCCTCTCTCCTGTCCAGACCTCCGCCCTC